CAGTTAAATTATCTAAATTAATAAATCATCTACAAATTAAATATAGACACACATGATATTATACTTCTTGTATCAACATCATTGCTGTTGATATTTGGATCACATGAATTTTCATTTTCTTTTCCTTCACTCGTTTTCTTCATCATAGCTTTTCCACGCGCCATAATCAGTAAGAGAATCTAAATATAAATTATGGATAGAAAAAATCTGAATATATATTGGTATACTAGTATATTGCTTTTCGTGTTTGCCTATAATATATTACTGAAGTATGAAAGTGGAGGAGTCTCATCATTAACCACAAATATTATTTTTCTTAATTAAGTCTAAATAAAATTCAATTAAGTATAAATTTTTCACAAATATTTCAACAAAATATTCAATCACATGTACATATGAAAAATACAGATGTCCGTATCATACAAAGTTGTTTCAAATAATTAATTACTGATTGCTAATCTACCGTACTCTATTAATTAGTTATGGTTAAGAAGGTCCTTACCAATTCCTAGTTATAACTATTATCTCTTTCGATTCAATTACTTATAGAAAGAGTTAGTTATAATCCCCGACTCTGTCAAATATTTGAGAAATTAAATACGAACATCATCAAAATAAATCAATCTGGTATTATCCTCATCATCACATGAAACCTATATAATACAACTAATAAATTGTTCATCGACAGCACAACTTTTCAATTTTGCCTTTTTATAACTCTTAAAAACCAACCACCTCTCGTCTTCAAGCAAAACCTAAACAGTAAAACATACCGAAAATCATCCTCATCCATTTCTCGATCATCTATTTCACGTTTCTACAAGTCGCCCTCACCCCCATTACTAATCAAAACCATTCCAGACTACAAACTTATTTCGTACACTACGCTTAACTTTCTCTCCAAACACAAAATACCTTAACCGAGTAATCTAGACTATACCACAACTATATTCACCGCTTTGTTTTGCTGAGATTCGTCTATATATATAAGTTCAGTTTTAGGATTAAAATCGAAACAAAATTATGGTAATGATGGTGGATTATTAGGGTGAGGGTGTGGGTGTGAGGATGGGTGTTGGTGTGGATTTAGGGTGGGTGTGAATGTAGATGTGGGTGTGAATGTGGATGTGGGTGTGGGTGTGGATGTGGGTGTGGGTGTGAGGATGGGTGTTGGTGTGGATTTAGGGTGGGTGTGAGTGTAGATGTGGGTGTGAATGTGAATGTGGATGTGGGTGTGGGTATGGGTGTGGGTGTGGGTGTGGGTGTGGGTGTGGGTGTGGATATGGGTGTGGGTGTGAATGTGGGTGTGGGTGCGGGTGTGGGTGAGGGTGTGTGAGGGTGAGGGTGTGTGTGTGTGGGTGAGGGTGGGGGTGGGTGAGGGTGTGGGTGTGGGTGTGGGTGTGGGTGTGGGTGTGGGTGTGGGTTGATAAATAATAAGAACATTCACACTCACACCCGTCCACACCCGCACCCACACCCACACCCTCAAGAATAATATAATATTATGTTTAATTTAACTATTATTGTACAGACATTAGATTAATGTTTGTCCCTGTCGTCGAAAATATGATGATCATAATGGTCATTGTAGCTAATGTCTTGTCGGTTACGTCTGTGACGAGGTCGAAAGAACATGTGCCGGTCACGTCTGTGATTCTCTGTCGGTTACATCTACCTTGTTCTGCGATGCTCTGTCCGTCACGCCTGTGATGCTCTATAATATCACGTAGATTACCTGTGAGACATTTTGTCGATTACGTCTGTTATTTTTTAGCATGCCGTGTCGCTCACGTCACTGACGGTCTATAATGCACTGTCAGCCACCGCTTTTGATCTTTTGTCGGTCACCTCAGTGTTGCCCTGTCGGTCGTGTCTATGATGTACTATCGGTCACGTCAGTGGGAGGGGGGGGGTCCAAATCTCTACCTCTTAACACTTCAACACTCCTTTGAGATCGTGTTTCACACAACTATCATATATTGATCTTGATCTTCTTGATCTTGATATCCCATAGGCTTATCGCCCGTTGGGGCCAACCACGGTTTGGATCAGGCTTTTCCATTGGTACCTGCTTTGCGCAAGGTGAACCAAGTCCTGAAGGCTGTATCCGCACCAATCTGTTATATCGTCTAGCCATTCTCTGCATGGTCGTCCTCTTCTGGACTTTCCATCCATTCTAGAGAATACTATGTGTTTCAGGAGTCTGCTGTTGTCCATCCTGCAGATGTGTCCAAAAAGTCTTAATTTACGTTTTTTGATCACATCAATTATTGTTTCACCAGCACCGAGTTGTTTTCGTATGTCGACGTTTCGCACCATGTCTTTCCAATGGATCTTGAGTATTCTTCGATAACACCTCATTTCGAATGCCAATAACTTTTGTTTGTCCACCTCCTTTAGTGTCCATGTTTCTGAAGCATATAGTAATACACTGAAGACACAAGTGGTTAAAAGTTTTATTTTACTTTCAACTTTCAGCTTCTTTGTGTTCCACATATGCTTCAGACTTGCCATTGCACCTATTGCTTTGCCAATTCGTCTTCTTATTTCTTTCGAGCAATTGTTATCCCATGTAATCATGCTCCCCAAATATTCAAACTCCTCCACATTTTCGATATGTTCACCATTGATTTCCATTTGTTGATCTATGTTTTTGTCACCAAACACCATAGTTTTTGTTTTCTTGATGTTTACCATAAGCCCAGCTTCCTTTGCCAATCTTGTGAGTTGTTCGATATGTTCTTGAAGTGAGAAGTGATTATTGTTGAGAAGGTCGATGTCGTCCGCAAATCGTAGGTTATTGATGATGGTTCCACCGATATTAATTCCAAAATTATTTGAAGTTATTTGGTCCATTATTCTTTCCAAATACGTAATGAACAAAAGTGGCGACAAGGGGTCCCCTTGTCTGGTTCCAATACTTGACTGGAACCATTCACCAAGGTCCATTCCTATTCGGACTGCTGAACGGGACTTTCCATATATTTGTTGAAGCAATACCAGCACCTTGTTGTCCACCCCGTACGATTTGAGCACCACCCATATAATTTTGTGTTGGATTGTATCGAAGGCCTTTTGGAAATCTATGAAACAATTATAGATTTTCCTTCCACTACGTTTTGCTTTTTCAGCTAGGAGTCTGAGAATCAAAATTTGTTGAACTGTGCTCCGGTCCTTTCTGAACCCCGCCTGTTCCTCTGACATGTATGGATCCAGGTGGTGTTTTAGTCTGTTCAGTAGCACCATGAGTAGAACTTTTCCTGTGTGATTAATGAGAGAAATAGTTCTATAATTTGAACATTGGCTGAGGTCCCCTTTTTTGGGGATCGGTATCAGAATTGACCGTCCCCACTGTTCAGGAATTGTTTCCTCATCCCATGCTCTGTTACACAGTTCGTAAATTTTGTGTCTCAACTTTTCTCCTCCCGCCTGAAGCATTTCTGCAGTGATTCCATCGACACCAGGACTTTTGTTTTTCTTTAATTTGTTGATAGCGTCGTTCACCTCACTGTATAGAATACCATTTGATGTATTGTTGATTGGAGGACTTATCTTGTTTAACGCTTGCACCATTTTGTTTGCACCATTACCACCTTTGTCTTGATACAGTTCACCACAATATTGCGTCCAATTCTGTAACACCTCTGATTTTGATTGTGATATTGTGCCATCTTTGTTTTTGATAAAAGTTAATTTTGTTGAAAACTTCTTTTTCAATAGCTTTATCAGTTGGTAAGCTTGCCTGCTGTTGCCCACTGCCATTTCCCTTTGAATTGTTTCACATTGATCTTGAATCCAGTTGTTTTTGTCCATTCTTGCCGATTTCTTCACTTGGCTGCAAAGATCCTTGTATATTTGATTGTTGGTCGTTGAGATGTTTTTAGTTTGTTTTGCTTTTCGTTTGTGGTCTGCTAGGATCAATGTTTGTTGAGAGATCCACGGTTTCTTTGATATGGTTTGTGTAATTGTACTTGCTTTTATTGCCTGTTCAATTGCTTGTTTGATTTGTGAAGCGTGTTCATCTATATTGCAGTTGGTATCGAGGCTGTTGAGTTGTTGTTCCAGTTGTGTTTGAAAATTGTTTCTTGTTGCTTGATTTTTGAGTTGGTTGGTATCGAGTCGTAAACTCTGCTTTGGTTTGTTTGTTAGATTTTTTAATTTTAGTTTGATATTACATAAAACTAAAGAATGGTCCGAGCTGATATCAGCTCCTTGGAAAGTTCTGCAGTTAATTACGGATGATTTCCACCGATTTTGTATAAGAATGAGGTCAATCATGTTCTTGTGTATGCCATCTGGTGATTCCCATGTCCATTTGCGATTTGGTTTTTGTTGAAATGCTGTGTTGCAAATAAATAGATTGTGCGATGTTGCGAATTCCAATAATTGTTCACCACGTTCATTTCTTGTTCCATAACCATATTTACCCATGACAGGTTCCCATCCTGTATTGTTATCACCCACCTTTGCATTCCAATCACCTGTAATGATAAGTATATCTTTTTTCGGAGTATTCGCCACCGCTTCCTCCAGGTTATCGTAGAATTTTTCCATGTCATCCATTGACGCTTCCGATGTTGGTGCATAAACATTGATTACTGTTAAGTTGAATGGTGTTGCTGTAAAACGTGCAGTAATTAATCTTGAATTAATTGGATTGTAGCTCAAGAGAGCTTTTCGAGCTTTTACGCTCAGTAACATCCCCACACCTTTAGTATGTGTATTGCTTTCACCACACCAAATGGAATCACCGTTGGATGTTTCACCTTGTCCTGTCCACCGCACCTCTGAAATGCCAATAATATCATATTTGTAGCGTTTCATTTCATTTCTTAATAATTCCAACTTGCCTGCTGCCCATAATGTTCGGACATTCCAAGTCCCTACGGTAACCATATGTTTCATTATTTTCAACTTGTTTGATGTATATTGATTCGCTGTTGTCATTGTTGTTTGTGTTTGAATCTAGTTTCTTTTTGTTGGTATTGATCAGGGGTGCTGCGTTCGCGTTCCTAAAGCGTTCCTTCAGAACGGAACGCGAACGGAATTATTATTACGTTTTATGGTACTCTTTGAACATATCGAGTTGTGTATACATGTTTTTTCATCTTCATATGCGAAATTAGTGTTCGTTCCCCGTTCTTAGAACGGGAACGCCACCACCGTTCCCGTTCTTAGGAACGGGAACGGCATTCGATTTACCCTTTTCTAGTATTTTCAAGACATACAGAGATGTTTCTATACTTTTTTTTTCATCCTTTCATATACGAAGTTTATACGTTCGCGTTCTTAGGAACGGAACGGTATACGCGTTCTCCGTTCTCGGAACGGGAACGAAAAATGCGTTCTTAGGAACGGGGAACGCACTCTAATTTTGCTCATTTTTAAGATATAATGAATTCAAAATGTGTCTAGTTTTTTTCAGAATCCAGATTTGATAACTACTTCATTCTCTAAAATTCTTTATAATCTTTTGAAGTTTCTGAATTTTACCAAAAAAAATTCAAAATGCTTTTTAAAAGTAGCTGATATTGCTGAATTCGACCATGAATTGCTTGTGTGAAGAGAACTGGCTGTATAATCGATTATTGCATTGAAAGGTTTAATACACACTCCTGTTGATTGTGTAATCACCATAAAAGAGACTGCTAAGAATATTTTCAAACGTCAGACCATATCTTATGTATGGTTGACCTTTATGAAGAAAATAAGATCAGATTGATTTTTTCCGAAAAAATTGACGTAGTGGATATACTAATGAGTGTAAAAGACGATAGAACACGTTAAAGAAAACATGGGCGAAAAAAGATAGTAACATTGTGGCTAGTCTTGCTTAATTGTTTGAACCTATACTGATATTACGTGTTTTTTTATTACATGTATTTGTTTTCTTCAGCATATCTTATATTATTTTCTTGTTACTCTCGTTACTTATGTTAATGGAGATATCGTTATAATCTCTGTTATCGTTCTGGCATAGAATTTTTTATTGTGAAATTTTTGTTGAAGGACTTTGTGCTATGTGAACTTCTTTGATAACCTTTTACCCCCTCTAGTGGGTGATTTTTAACTCATTTATTGAAACTGTTTCTTTCAACTAATAAAACATGGAATCAAGACGGTTCGTGAATATTATGTAGAGCACTCAGTTACCTATAAAATGGTAAAAAATTGAGCTCTTCCTGGTTGTTTCTTAGGTAACATATTAGTGCCGCAAAATGATGATTTGCAAAAAAACTGAGAAAAAATCGATTTCTTTACTTGTTTGTCTTGCTTATTTTTGAGAACTGAGCATTTTCCTGTTTGAGTGATTGATATGTTTTACTAAGGACACCGTATCTTTATACATATCTATTTAAAAAATGATTAGTTTAATAAGAGAAAATGCCGTTGCTTAGAACAGCTGGGGTCGAAAATGACCCATTCGTATTGAATGATATAAAAAATGCATTTTTCTATAGGTAGTTTTTTTACGATATAATCTCATTATTAATGGTTTCTTCATGCTAAAAAGGTTTATTATAACTAATAAGAAGACAAAAAGAGATTTATTCTTGATTTCAACATAAAGTGTGTGTACTTGTATAACAACTGGGGTGTGTGGTTGTGTGTGTGTGTGAGTATGGATAAAAACAGATCGAAACTCATTCACATCCATATCTTCATCCACACTCAAAACTATCATTGTAAAAAATAAATAAACATGTGTTAGACTAATATTCATTCTTTTATTGTAACTTTTGATTGTAATGAAATTAAATTTATCATGTATTGTTTTGAAAAGTATTCTTTTTTTGAGAGTAACTCGTGATATAAAATCTATCTTTGGTTATATAAATAAGTACACAATTGAGAAAAATCGTGAAAAGAAACAAATTGAGAATAAGTCCAATTATATGTCATTCAAGATGAATAGTTCGTATTTCACCTATTTCATATCTCTACAGGGAAACGACTTCGCTCGAATTCAACCATATCAGTGTCATATTGAGCACTTATATGATTTATTACCATGGTCGGCTTAATACCAGCTCTGTTGGATTAGTGCCAGGGTGTAACGGGTTAACGTACTCTTTTCTGTGAATTATTTTGTTGAAATACTTTGTTTTATGTGAAACTGTTATGTTACTATTTTGTGACTTATGCTTTACGAAAGTATTGAATGCTAATAAAACTACTCCTGTATTTTTCTGTTATGATAATTATCTATTCAAGCAACCATTATTATATTATAACCAGTCTTACGCTTATTTAAGAAAACATTTGTCTTAATATATAGTTATTGATAATTTTATCATCTATCGAAATGATCACATGGAATTTGAACGAATCAAAAATATCTCTATTGGATTTTGAATCATGCATACAGGTAGCATGCTAATTTAACACTGATAGCACAAAATATGGTATCCCCACATTCTGAGCTATTGAAATATATCTTGCGTTCCCCGTTTTTAGAACGGGAACGGTACTCGCGTTCTCGTTCCTAGGAACGGGAACGATCATCGCGTTCCCGTTCTTAGGAACGGGAACGGTATTCGATTTACCCTTTTCTAGAAACTAGGACGCGAACGACACTCTACGGTCAAGTAACTAACCAGAATTGCCTTAGTTCTACTCACGTTCTCCGTTCTTAGCAACGGGAACGGATCTCGCGTTCCCGTTTCTTGCAACGGAACGGGAACGCAGCACCCCTAGTATTGATGATGTTGGTGTTGTTGTTGTTGTTGTTGTTGTTGTTGAATGATTGATTGTTCGATTGGTTGGATTGGTTGGATTGGTTGTTCCAGTAGCCAATTTTTCGACTCTATCCTGGTTCCACGACAGAGGACGCGGACCTTGTTCACCCGGGCGACGTCCGAGCCGGTATAGTTTTTGACGTTGATCGTTCATGGTTGGTTTCTATCGTCTTTTTTCTTTTACAAACGGCGGTATCTGCACCCCTTCCGTTTAACGCTCCTCCTTTTTCCGGACTTGCGACCGGCACAGAAATCATTGGATTATGATTCCCATGGTGGAGTTATCATATATTGACATTGCATTATTGTAACAGAGGCAAGGAATGCGCTTGTGCTATTCATCACGAAATAAAGATATCATCAAGGACTATCTAGTACAATATAAATAAACTGAAACAAACAAATTCAATTAAGCAGTGAAGAGGAAATGGTCGACTACGTGCCACACGGAAATAGAAAAAAGCTATATTGTTCAATATATTCAAATAATTGATCGACAACAAAATATTAGAATTATTGGAGTGCCCATCTGATACTCGAAATGCTAATACTATGGAGAACTTATGGTCGATCGTAAAACGCAAAGTTGAAAGAAGAAAACTGAAAAGCATTGATGCACTCGAGCTTTTTTTATATGAAAAGTTTAAAAAAATTGATATGAATATTGTAATGAAAATTGTGATGTCGATGTAAAAACGATGTTTGCCTCTTATTGAATCTAAAGGTGAACGAATAAAATATTGAAGTATAGTGTTTAATAGTACTCGACATAGGCTATCAATCAGTACTGAAAACTACTTGAGAGTGACTTTTATATGGGAATATATTTACATAACAAGATGTGCAAGTTTTTTTGAATCGGTCTGTATATAATTTCTGTTTAAATTATGTAAGATAATTCATCTAGCTGAATTGTGTTTTTCACATTGAAAAAAATCTTATTCTTTCTGATCTCAATCGATAAAAAAGAGAATAAACTAAAACAAGGGAAATAACAAGATTTTTATTTATATCAGAATTTATTGAGCTCAATCAGTTTTTGAACATGTCGTACTAATATATGTTGTGAACCTAATGCAGTCGACTTCGTTCCTTTACACATAGTCATTTGATCATCACGTAATGTTAATGAACATTGTTTTGTATGAAATATATGCATTAAACTATTATCAGTTGTTCGAAAGACATTTAAAGTTGGAGATCGAACTAATTTATCATAAAGGTCAACATCTTCTTTTCCCCATCCACTAATTTCAACATTCCAACTACCAATTTGTGCTAAATCTGCTTTATATATTCCAAGCATACCAAAACCATACTGACGCCAATGACCAATATCATTTCGAATATGAAATGAAGTAAGATTCGATAACATTTTTGGTAATTCCCAATATTGTGGATCATATTGGCTAAATACAGTTGGATAATAAACTTGTTTATTAAAAATAGTATGATGACGTATACGTGGAAATAAATCACGAGTAAAAACCATATCAACATCAATAAAAAATAACAAATCTGTATCATTAAAACGTGATGCACCATATGAACATGCATAAGAACGTGTAAAATTTCCATTTTTAACTTCAATTAAATGTATACGTGATATTTTATATTTTTTAATAAATTTTTTTATATAATTAGCTATTGTTGACATACGTTCACCACTATCTTCTGCTGTTTCCATTAGTATCATATAAAGATGTACATTGAGAAGATCCGAATCATTTGAATACATAACAACACGATCAAAATTTATAAATAAACGTTTAAGAGTAGGAAGACGTCCACTAACAGGTACAATCAGATGAATAGGTATAGATGGAGTAGGTAATATTATAGTCCTGTATGAATTTGTCATCACCTGTGAAATTGAATTAGAAGAATCAGCTCCAAAAGGAGATAATATTGCACTTGAATATGATGATGAAAGTTCACGAAAGTAAAGTGGATGAAATCTTTGCACAGCATACACATGTTTTCGTACGGGTATCTCAAAAAAAGAATTATATTAAACTAAAATATTAAATAATAAATATATATATATAACTTACTGACATTTTTTTACCCATATATTTTCGATAGATAACATGTAAATGTAAAATATAATTAATACCAAATCTTGGTTTATATTTATAATAACCATATAAAGTTTTT